GACTATAGGTAGAAGCCTAAACCATATCCAGATCTCCAGAGATGGGAAATTTCCACCTGAAAGGATGAGCAGACCAGCCTGGAACGGCTAGAAGAACAGAGGATACTTCTTGAAAGAAAGACCTACCGGAAAAATACAAACAGTAGAGGCAGACGGACTGTTTCTACAAAAACAAACAAGTTGCAAGGCAAGTGGTCGGGTCCCCTCAGTGCAAACCCCCTTCCAAGACTAAGACTCAGTGGGAATACACGCTCTGATTGGTGACCACACTTGTCACCGATAAGGGGAAGTGAGGGAAAAACAGCAATGAAGCGTTGAGCTAAGCCCTACAATGTGGAGAGTGAAGTGTTCAGCTGATAAAAAGAGAGGGCATATGCACAAAAACACCCACACTTGCAGATGTGGCTTCAATGACTGGATGATCAGAGCTCAACCAGAAGAATAAAGAAGAGGAAAAAAAGAGTAATCCGATACAATTTGATGAACTTGACCTACACCTATGGATGCAGTAGCTCAAAAGAGGAAACAAATCTTTACGGCAAGAATCATTCCCACCCCCTCCACACAGAGTAGACAGGGATGGGCAACTTGGACATTGGCTACCCAAAATGGAGGGGGGGGCGGCTACAAAGGCAAGAAGTGACTGGTTTACAAGCTTTCAAGAGGGAACCTAGAGCCATAAGGCCAGGAGGAAGGCAGAATCTCCAGTGAGTAGTATCCAATCTGTCTAGGCGGGGCTGATGAAATGAAATGCAGATGGATCACTTATGATACAATAGTGAATAATTATTATCAGGACTGATTGTGAGGGTTGGAAATGTAAAAGTAGACGTTTTATAGCAAGGAAGGGAGTGATTAAGTTTCCAGTCTAGGAGCAGAGGTCCCTGTGACCATCAATGGAGAAGAGCGGAGTGGGGGACCCTACCCAGAGAAGCAGTGATGCCTGAGACAGAGGCAGAGACTATAACGTGAAGCGATGGAGCAGCTGGGGACTTTAGATCCAGAGAGGAAGAGGGGCTGTGTGCTGAAGACCAGGGGGAGGGATGTTGGGGGCAGGCTTGCAGGGTATACCCTTTAGTTGGTTGATGATGTATGGAGGGGATTGTAACCATGGCACTGAAATGATATACGATAGGATGAATGTAAAGCTAATGTTTCCCATGTAAATTATTCCATAGTTCACAATAAAGCATTAAAAAAAAAAAAAAAGACACAATGAATAGCAGTGAATCAGTGCTTAAAATAAGCTTGAATAAGTGAATAAAAGCATTTGTTAAGCGCTTACCAAAAAAAGCAAACAAAATCAGTAACAACAACAAAGAAACCCAGCAACATTTAAGGAGGAGATTGAAAGGGAGGGCGCAGTCCCTCAGGGGTTCCCCCAACACTGGTGTATACAGCTCAGCGAGTCAAGTTGCACACTTCCCACATTTGAGGAGCCCATGGGTGTTGCAGTTACCCCACTTAACATGGATTTTCTTTCTTTGTTGTTGGTAAGTGCCCACTCACTGTTGCTGCTCCTGTTAAATGCCATTTCGACTCAGTTCCAACTCAGAGCGACTCTGCCAATATTTCCCAGACTTTCTGCGGGAGCACAAAGGCTCATTTTTCTCCCTTGGAGTGTCTGGTGGGCTCGAACCGCTGACCTTGTGGTTCACAGTTCAGTACTTATCCTACAGAGCCATTGCGCTTTATTCTTTATTGTTTAAACCCTATTGTTTTTAATAGAAGTCAGTACTTTTTTTCTTTCATTTAGGTTGTGGTTGAAACTAATTCAAGGAGCATAACCAAACCCACCCTCATTGAACGGACACATGGTAGCCCTGTGGGGTAGGGCAGCTCCTTTAGGTTCTGAGACTGCTGAGCTGTACAGGTACAGATGGTGGGTTCCCAAGGCTGGCCTAGCAGTTAGCATCCGACACTTAATTCACAATGCTGTCAGGGTTTCTTTCAAAGGACAGATCAAGACCAAACCCGCTAACTACCCAACTATTTAAGAGGGTGCTTAAACATGTTTGTCCCAAATCATTGCTATTGTTGTTGTTAAGTGCTGTTGAGTTGGTTCCGACTCATAGCTACCCTGTATACGGTTTCTGAGGAGCCACAGGACTTGTGGTTCGCAGTGCAGTGCTGATCCAATGGCTACACGATGAGTCCTTGTTCCAAATAGAGAGATGCTGAATTCCTGGTTTCTTGCATGAAACGCTATAAAGCCTGTACCAGGATGTAAACTAAAAGCCCCTTAATTATCATCCACGTTTGGTAATTTTCTGTGGTAAATTTTCTCTCTTGAGAATTTCCTGGCTTTTAGAGTGGAAGCCTAAGCATCGGTTTTCTATTTTAACATTGCCAAAAGCTTTACAAAGGGTTAGCTGAAGTCCGGCAGGCAGGCAGGCAGGACACCATTTAGCCAGGCAGCCGACTCTTAGTGCCGTCATTCTGTCTTTATCTTGACTGTCTGATGATGACCATCACCAAATGCACATGGATGCCTATGACTTCTATGGGACTGACTCTGGGACTTCAGGCCGGGCCCTCCCACATACCAGTGCCAGAGGACAATGCCTCTCTATGCTCACAGTCACACAAATAAAATTCACTGTTAACTTGTTTTGTTTTTCTGTGAAATTCTAAACGTGCACAAGACAGAAATGTACACTCACGTAAGTCAATCTCCTAGGTCTCTCTGCTTTCTGCTGTGCCCCCTCAATCTCGTGTGTTGTCTGTGCTTCACCACCTCACGGCGGCCCCACATGAGCAGAGTTAGAACTGCTCCATGGGATTTTCAAGGCCATGACATTTTGGAAGCAGATCGCCAGGTTGTCTTCTGAGGTAACCTTGGGTGGTTTAAACGTCCAGTCTCTCTGCTGATATTTGAGTGCTTAACCATTTGCTCCACCCAGGGACTATCCTCGCTTTCACTTAACTTAAATAGATCTCAGCATTGGCCAGCTAACTTCAAGGTCAGTGGTTCAAACCCACCAGTTGCTCCTTGAAAACGCCATAAAGGGTGGCTGTGAGTTGGAACCGACCCTACAACACTTAACAACGACAACAGTCCACCCACGAAATATCATTGGTGCTTGTTATGGGCATGCACGGTGAGTAGTCTGAAGAGACACTGTCTCAGGAACGATACAAACAAATTCAGAACAATGATGCACTCGTGGGCAAAATGCAGTGAAGCCTGCCTGTGTAAGGAACTCCACGTGTAAGGGTGAGTGAGCGGGAATGGACTAAGCCAAGACGGGGTGGGTACTGATGATGATGACCAGGATGGCCAACGCTGACTGAATGGTTACTATGCTGATGCTTACGGTGCGAACTGCTTTATGTATTTTATCACACTTTGTTTTCATACCAACCCTAGTGTAAGGAGCCCTGGTGGCACTGAGGCTTAGGCATTGGTCTGATAACAGGCTTAGGCATTGGTTGGCTTTGCCAAATCCACCAGCCACATCGAAGGAGAAAGGTGAGACCATCTGCTCCCATAAAGGTTTGGTATTGTTGTTAAGTGCCGACGAGTCAATTCCAACTCATAGCAACACTGTGTAGGGTTTCCAAGGAGCAGCTGGTGGGTTTGACCAATGACATTGCGGATAGCAGTCCAGTGTTCATCCTACAGCACCGCACCAGGACTCCCACCAAGAATTGCAGCCTCAGAAACTCTCCGCAAGATCGTTGTAAGTTGGAATCGACTTGATTGGGTTTTTGGTCTATAAGATATAAGCTACTATCATCCCATTAAGCAGACACGGCAACCAAAGCCGAAATTAGTAACTTCCCAAAGATCAGGCCCCAGAACAGGCTCAGGGCCCACAGTGCACAAATGAGGCTGTGGCTCTCACACGCAATCCATCCATGAACTGCAGAACTGCATGCTCATCCCTTGCTTCGAACACAGCCACCTGCTCAACAGCTCTGCCGCTCATCCCTCGATGAGCTCCTGTCTTGCAGAAATTAGGAGCTTCTTCGGCAGCAAAGTTGTGGCCCTCGCAGTTCTTCTCTGAATATCAAGTCCAAATGCACCCCTTTAAACTCTTCTCCTTCAGTGTGAGTCCCCATAAGTTTGCTTTCCTGGATTCTGAGCAGTAAGCAATGCGGAGTAGGCTACATTCAGAGACGCTGTCTCACAGCCCTCTTAACTACTTACCGAAGCTCAGATGGACAGTTTCTCCAAAGAGCTTTCAGGGAGACCCAAGGGGAATGTTTCTGGTCATAAACTTTCTTTAATTCTACAAACAAGGGCAAAATACAATTTGAAGAGGACCTAATAAATGTCTATACAGTATACGATGAGATAATGTGCAACTAACACTTCTTTAGACCAGTGCTAACACTAAATTAAGAGCCCTGTAGCTCCCTCTAATAGGCACAGGACTGTGGCCGCAAGGTCCGTGGTTCCAGCCTGCCAGCCACTCCAAAGGAGAAAGATGAGTCTTTCTACTCCCTCGAAGATTTAAAGCCTAGGAGAGTCTACAGAGGATAGCTATGAATCAGAACCAACTTGATGTTGTTAGGTGCCATTGAGTTGGTACTGACTCATAGCGACCTTATGCACAACAGAACGAAACACTGCCTGGTCCTGGGCCAACCTCACAATTGTTGCCACGCTCAAGCCCATCGATACTGCCATTTTGCCAATCCATCTCGCTGGGGGTCTTCCTCTTTTTCTCTGACCCTCCACCTTACCAAACATGATATCCTTTCTCCAATGACTGGTCCCTCCTGACAATATGTTCAAAGTATGAGAGACGAAGTTTGGCCATCCTGGCCTCCAAGGAGCATTCTGGCTATACTTCTTCCAACACAGATCTGTTGGTTCTTTTGGCAGCCCGTGGCACTTTCAACATTCTCCTCCAACACCATAACTCAAAAGCATCAGTTCTTCTATGGTCTTCCTTATTCACTGAATATTCCTTATTCACAATGAATAAGGAAGACAGAACCAACTACATGACACTAACAGTAATAGCAACACTCAATGAACACACAGTTACCTCCTTCTTTCCAGACCTTGAATCCTGTTCACCAGAATTTTCCCCCAGCAAACATTTCACTTTCTCTGTCTTTTCCGTGTGCTGACAAAAGTCCACTTGCCCGAGTCGGGCACTGTTGTAGCGGGTGTTGACTGGCCCTGGCCCTGGCATCGTCACCTTTAGCATCTTGGAGGTGAGGCCAATTAGGTTAGTGGCTGGAGTGTGCCTTGCATCTGCTGCTGTCTCTGGGATGTAAATCACTGAGCACCCGTGACTTTGGAGTACCCCTTTTTCTTGGCTGTTAAGAAAGAAACAAAGGAAGTATTTGTTACTTATTTACCTATTTGACTTTTTGGGAAAATGATTGATGAGAATGTTGAAGTCTCTTTTACTTAAGCTGGAGAGAATATCTAAAATTAAGAAGAGAAATACTGAGTTTCAAGCACTGAATTTGATCATTAAAATTTTGTTGTTATTTCATATTTTTCTACAAAAGCAAGCATAAGCAGAATGTGGGACCCTATCCAGAGATGCAGCAACACCAGAGATGGAGGCAGAGATGAGGACATGGAGAGAGGGAGCTGCTGAGGACTCTAGACTCATGGAAAGAGAAAGGCTGTGTGCTGGCGGCCAGGAGGCAAGCTTGCAGAATGTGCCCTTGGGTTGTTTAAATGATTATATACTCCAGAGTGTTTTTGTGTACATCCAAAAAAAAAAAGAGGGAACAGAAGAAAATACTGTTGAATCATGATGCCCCGAGGGGACTGTAATCATTGCAATGAAACGATGAGTGTAGAAACCGATGTTCTCCCATGTGAAGCATCACAATAAAAACTTAAAAATAAAACTTTAAAAAAAAAAACAGTAATTAGGGTACTCTGAATTATCAATGATAAAATCAGAAGAAACAAATTATCAAAAATAAATTATGTCTTAACATTAAAAAAAAAAAAAAAAAAAACAGCAAGAAGGAAGCAAAAGTTTACTTGGTGAGTGAGCATGTCCCCTTAGGTAAAATAAGGTATACATCTGGTGTCCACCCTACATGTAGACTGCACAGTCAGTTTGGCTTTGATCAGGAATACAGGAGTAATCCTGGGGAGGGGCTGCTAATGGCAACTGTGCTGAAACACGTCCCACTGGCCTTCCTGAAAATACCTCCCTCATGGCATTTGTCTCTTTCAAACAACCCCATCTCCAGAACCTTCTCTGCCTATACCTTGAAAGCTAAATCCTCACCAAGTCTATTCCAACTGATAGCGACCCCATCCAGGGTTTCCTATGGTCTAAATCTTTACAGGGGCACAAAGTCTCATCTTTCTCCCATGAAGCTGCTGGTGGTTTGAACTACCAACCTTGTGGTTAGCAGTCCAATACTTTGCCTTCAGTGCCACCAGAGCTTACCTTTAAACAGTTGGCATTTATTTACAAACATAAATTTGTTTCCTTACAGCCTTCTCACACTGAGAAGGACCGAGATACTTGCTTGGCTCTACAGTTTCATCGAAGGCTCTGGAGCTAAGAGGCCTGTGCATCCCTTGAAATGTTTTTCTCACAAAGTAAATAATATGCATAGTACATGACACTGCGGAGCTGTGAGAGGAATGTGTGCAGGTATCTATACATCACCTGATCCCGTAGGGAAAGGGGAAGGGAGATGGAGAAAGAGAGGCTGAGATTTGAGATTTGGTTTGTTCTCACAGCTGAGTCCTGGGGCCACCTGCTGGAGAATGTGTCTACAAAGTATATAGCTTTTCCTCCATTTAAAAATCAACTGTAATTATCTCCGGAAAACTTCTATTTCCTCAACTCATATAACAAAATAATACTCTTGAGTTCCAAGAATTTAAAATTGAATACAAAATTCTACTTAGCCACAAAGACTTGTGTTCAAATGTGCCAAAACCTCAAAGATATCAACCAGGGTTCTATAGGTATATCATAGACCAGTATTAGCAATCTTCCAAATTGTCCTGAAAAATAATCATTATTAAAATATCCCTATTAGATACTTTATATCCATATTATACCCATAGATGCATGGATATTTCCAAGGCCAACTATAAATAAAATACATTTAATGCAGATGATATTCAGATGGAATCATCTAGTCTCATTAATATTAGCATATTAAGCTAAAAGCTTATGTCTATGATATAATGCTCTGGTAGCATAGTGGTTACGAATCGGGCTGCGAACCGCAAGGTCAGCAGTTCAAAACTACTAGTTGTTCCATGGGAGAAAGATGAGGCTTTCTGCTCCCGTAAAGATTTACAGCCTCGGAAACCCTGTACAGGGTCGCTATGAGTCGGAACCAACTCCAGGCCACATAACAACAACAACAACAATGATACAATGATAAATACAAGCCTGAACTGAAGTTTAGTACAGCTGATCATTTAGGATAACAGCGATGGAAAAGATTTGAGAAGTTGTAACTTTTTTTTTTTTTTTTTTTTGTAATGGTGTGATTACCATTTCTAAGAGGACATCTTTGGCTTTGGATCACTCCAACTGTAGAGTTTAAATTCGACAGAGCAAAGGAAATATAGGATTCAGAATGGAATTCTCTGGTAAAAGCCTTTACTCTCAGGAACCAAAGTCTTCTGAAAAGACATGTCCCACTTTGAAAGGAAGTCTCCTTTCTCTCAAATGCCTCTTTTAGCCCCCGTTTAAACTCTAATGGGTCTTGAGCTCGTGTTGCTCTGCTGTACCTGCTTGGTCAGATGCGAAGAACATTAATTTTAGACACTGAGCTTTTCAAGGCAATGGCTCCATTTCAGAGTCAGGTAGGGAGAGGGTGAGCTGGAGACCCTGGCTGAGATAACACCTTCACCTTTCCCTCTCACCCTGGGCAGTAGTCTCAGAACAAAACTGGGTTTGTCTTCAGCATCATCCTCCCCTTTTTGAATGGGTGATTAAGTGCTGCTCCCCTTAGGGAGTGTTATGCCTTCAGGAGCTCCATGACCACATTGTTTTTGCCTGCCTTGTGCTGTGAACAAATCCAGCTGACTTGTGAGGTAACTTTGCTTTAAAGTTTCTCAATCCTGAAAGGCATCTACTATGGCAGCTCCCAGTAGCAGTGGAAGTGGGTTATGGTTAAGTGTAAAAAACAGAGCTGAATCTTTATAAATTCCCCATACTACAGACCACTGCACAGCCCTCAAGCTCCATTCTTTGGAACCTTTGCTAGTCCTGCACTTTCCACCCCCAATCCTAGCCTATAGAGAGGCATTCTTGCCTTAAAAACAAAGTTCTTAATTTTAATTTAGAGCAATTAAAATAGATTTTCCTGCTTTGAGTGGTATATTAAAAAGTACGGTAAAATCTTTTAGAACAGAACTTTGGGTATTTCCATATGCTTAGATAACATTGTTCTTTGAGAATAATTAAGCAAAACTACGTATTTGTTTAAGATAAACTAAACTAAGCTAATGTGAGGTCACCAACTTTTCTTGGTGCAACTGTTGTTGTTGGTAAGTGCCATTGAGTTGGTGCTGAGGAGCATCTGGTGGGTTTGAACTGTCGACCTTCAGGTTGGCAGTCCAGTGCTGATCCTACAGCACCACACCTTGTTCCAGATCCTCTACTAAATTGGCCTGAGTGTCTGTATTCCCTGTCAGTGTACTACTGCAACTATTTTTAAATTATCTTGCAGAAATTTTTATTTACATGTGGTGCTACAGGTGGTGGTGGTTGTATGCCGTGGAGTCAGTTCTGACTCATAGTGACCCTGAACAGGGTTTCTGAGGCTGTAAATCTTTATAAGAGCTGAAAGCCTCACATTTCTTCCATGGAGAGGCTGGTAGTTTCAAACTTCTGGCCATGAGATTGGCAGCCTGACTCGTAACCACTATGCTACCAGAGTTCCATGATGTTAATGGTAGTGTTTGGTAATTTCCACATTCTGTTGGGTCACCTTTCTCTGGAACAGACACAAATATTTCTAGGCATGGACAGGTGAGTACTCCCAGCATTGCCCCCATTTGTAGAAACATCAGAATGAATAATCCATTGACTCCGGCAGCTTTGGTTTTCACCAATGCCTCAGTGAGTGCAGCTTAGATGACTTCCTTCAGTACCATCAGTTCTTGATTATATGGAAGCTTCTTGAAATGATTCAACATGGACCAATAGTGGTACAGTGACTCAGTATTCCTTCCATCTTCTTCTCTTTGTTTGGCTTGAAACAATATACATTTATTAGCTTACAGTTCTGGAGGTCGGAAATCTGGTAGAGGTCTCACTGGGCTAAAATCAAAGTGTCAGTAGGGCTATATTGGGTTTTGTTGAGTTTTTTTAAGCTTCTACTATGAATTGAGTGATAGTTTCCATGGCAGAACATTGGTTTTGCACTCAGCTCATTGCAATGATTACAATCTCCTCAGTGTGCCATTGGTTAAGGTTAACAGTTCTTGCCTCTATTCTCTCTTTTTCCTTTCTTTTGTTATACACAAAAACACTCAGGAATATACACTCTCTTAAACATCCAAAGGGCACATTCTGCAAGCCTGCCTCCTGGTCGCCAGCACACAGCCTTTCTCTTTCCATAAGTCTGGACTACTCAGCTTCTCCCTCTATCCCTGTCCTCAACTTTGCCTCCATCTCTGGTGCCACTGCTTCTCTGGATAGAGTCCTGCATTCTGCTTGTGCTCTTTCCCTTGGTGGTCCTCTGTTCCTGGAATGTAAGATTATCTACTCTCCCCTTTTTGTTATACAACTACTACCTTTGCAGTTGTGACAATAGCAATTAGTCATGACAACAATTACTCACTATTGAATCAAAAGAATCCTATCTCCATCCCCTTTCACCAGACCCATCTAGACAAGATGGAAACTATTCAGTGGGGATTCTATCTTCCCCCGCACACTCTGAAACTAAACTCCGTCTTGAAAACTTGTAAGCCAGCCACTTTGTGCCTTTATAGGTCCTCCACTCCATTTTATGTAGCCAATGTCTAAGTTTCCTGTCCCTATCTACCCTGTATACCGAGGGGATAGGCTTGAAACTTGATGTGAAGACTACTTCCCTCTCAGTTGGTATTTTGAGCTACTACATCCATAAGTATAGATCAAGTTCATCAAATTGTAGCAATTTACACTTGCTTCCTATATCAAATTTCTTTATCTTCCTCTAGTTGAATTCTGATCATCAATCCATTGAAACTAGG